TTCGTTTACTAAATAGGGTCTCGCAGGCAAAAGAATTTTCAGTGGTCTGAACTGTGTAATCGTGGTAAATGTTAGGATTGCTACCTATATTTCAGAAGACATAACTTAAACACTTTTTGAATGCAGCGTAAATTTCGTGGAGTGGGTAAAGTATCATTCCACTTCCCAACTGCGTTGAAGAGCACCGGGAGAGTTTTCTTCTGATTTATGCACAGTACCACCCTGCTTTTCCTCTTTGTTGAGCTCCGTGACCATCGTCTATGGGTATTTTTCCAAGATATAGTGTCATCAAAGCGGAGATTGGAAAAAAATTTCTTCAAAGCTAGGAATCCGGCAACAATGCAGAAGACGTTTTCGTACCAATCAAGCCATTTCGTTATCCACTATGGTGTGACCAAAACAGCGTTAGTGGTGTCCTGTAGGAACCGTTTTTCAATAGAATAGTATAGACCCCAGTAGAATAGCTGTATTTTTCTGGTCTATGCAGCTGAATTCCTCTCGAAATCTTGCTTGCCGAGCTGGTTGAGCCTTATTCAACGTTCTTGGTATAAATTAGTCTTCTTCATGAACAAATCGTGGAGTACACTCGAAAAGCAAATCTTGTGCTAACTGTAAAGGTCCAGTAGGTCACTTCTCACTCATGAGCACGATGATCTAGAGCCATATCTTTCACATTGTAAAGATTACTTACTTTTTGAATTTTGTTTCTTGAGAAAGGGAGAAGTTGATGGCCCGCAGCCCAAAGAGAGTCGGTGTGTGTCTGGTCCCTGCGATATATCTTTGGACCGTTTTCTTTCTAAGCTGATTATAACAACTCCGAAGTGGGCGTTTATTATCAGCCATGCTAGATGTGTTGCAATATGATCAAACATGTTTTCTTCTTTCCTGGAGCAATTGGTTGACGATAATGGAAGTGCAACACGAAGTCCTTGATTAAAGGACTGAAACGCGTTAGGCACAGTTCATAGTTGTTTGCGTGATTAATGCGCTGCTCTATGAGATGAGAAATTCCCATTCGGCATGCTCTCTTCGCATACGACTTGCCTTGTTCTTCTTAGGTAATAACAACAGTTCTTTTCCAAGGTACGACTTGTTCGAATCTTTGAGCGGAGAAGGCAGTGATCGGGCCCACTAAATTCCTCTTATAACGATGTACTTAATCTCGGCAGATGTATCGTTAAGTGGCTTCCATATCCAGCGGTGACTTTCTAGGGTTTCCGAATACCTAAGACGTCAGTGTTTTTTATAGTGTCATATCGCCAATGAGAGTGTTCGTGATGGAGGTCGCGGTCACCTGTCAGCAGTAGGTTGCTGCTAAAGCTGAAAATCGAAGATGCAGCTCCAGAAACTACTTCGGTAGCTGTGGAGCCGTTCATAATATATTGTATTGTGAATTAAAACCGAGAAGTACTGTCGATTCGATGAAATCTTTCTCGCAAAAACTGCCGGATATTTATCGACAGCAGCAAACTTGTTGCTTAAAAGGGCTTTGAGTGATTCGTAATTTCCGGAACATCATATTCTGGAATATCGGTCTTATATTACCGGAGTAAATCTTCTGTGCAGTACTGACAAAAATCGGTAGATTCTAATACTTTTTACTTTGTTTTATCACAATTTGTAATTTAAAGTCCGAAATGGCAATTACTTTTGCTAATATGTTATCTCACCACATTTACACCATTTCTGCCATATTTGGTAGTATTACTGCTAAACTGTACGTTTGCTTCAAACGCATTCAGGTGTCATATTGCGTACCTTGTTCGACTCGTGTACACTACAACGCAGGTGAGCAGGACCATGCGATCCGATTGTTCTATCCAAGCGGTCAGCCTGTCAGAAAACCGTTTGTCCATCGAATGGTGAGCTCCCTATCGTGACCACCTATCCTTCGCTATTCGTCCTGAGTACATCATTCAGTCGTTTTGAAATGTTTGCTCCAGGTACTGTCGGCTGTATTATGCATCGAGACATCTCATTATGTAGCTTTTGTACGTTCACTATCGGGACGCTGGTTGTTTTTTGACTCAATGGCAGACCGAGAGGGTCTTAGTGATGGATTCAATGTGCCACAGGTGCTTGCTTATATTATCTACTTCTTTCGTAAATTGTGTTCAACCTGCGAATCTTATACAGGGCTTTTGCTGTGCACTTTTAATTCTTTAAATTAAAATCGTGATGTTATTAACTTTCGAGTCTTATCTCAATTGCATAAGGTTTTATCTACTTCTAGAAATCATTAGATTCACGATGAAAAAGGTTATTTGGTAATGGGCCATAGCTTTTGTATTACATTAGTGAAGTTGAGAACTTTACAGGCTTATGGAAGAGTTTATGCTATCGTAGGATATTTGTTTAATTTTAATTTTTTTTTATGATCAAAACTCAAAAAATTAGGAGCTAAAGTTAACACTTGGGGTTCCACATAAGTTCATTTTCACTCACACATTGCGAAAATAACGACAGCATCGAAGTTCAAACCAGTGTATTATAGCTCTAAGTGAAGTTTATTGTTATAATAAAGTAAAAAGTTATTAAACTGTGATTTATACTTCAGCTTCAGCTTAAGCGGGTTTAATGCCGATTTATGCTCCCCAGATTAATCTCGTTGAAGGGTGATTGTTGATTAAAAAAACTCTCGGCTTTGATCAATTCTTGAAGGACGCGCCGTGCATTCGACTTCATTAAGCATCGTTTGGAGGTGATTGAATGCATATCTGGCTTTGACAATGACTTGCGATGTGCGATAACCTACCGATGTATCGAGCTAATGCTGCTATCCTCCCAGACAAGTCTGGTGCCAATTTGCTAACTCCGGAGCGATGGAAGCCTTGTTAAGCCTGGGGCGCGGTGATCGATTTCGTGTGTATTGCAATGCAGCAACTCTGACCACTGCGCCACAGGCGCCCTCTGATTGCTGGTAGCACCTATAAAACACGGTTTAGCGACGGGCGAAATGAAGGATCCGCATGGTGTGGTGGTGAACACGTTAGCCCCCAGGAAGGGGTAATATCGATTTCTGTCCTCACCGCAGACATCTGCAGTCCGGAGTTTTGCAAATGTCTCAGCATTATTGTGGTTACTTTTTACGTCATACCATGCCATGAAAAAGAATAAGCAGTGAATGAAAAGCAATTACAGTAAAATGTATTAGAATCTGGATACCATTCTCCGTAGTATAGAAGCTCTTTCGTTTTATCCAGGTGCGTTTCTGCTTTCTGGATCACACCAATCTCTCCAGATATGTTACTCATGCTTATGGCTGCTGGGATTTGTTTTTGAATTTTAAAAATTTGGATTTCGTTTCCATTTATAGGAACTTTAATTCTGAACAACTTAAGTCAAGTGTCTGCTCTAAGGAGCCTTAGTTACAATTAAATAAATAGAGCAAAGTGGTTTCTATAACCTGACCACTTAGTTACTCGAGTATTCTAGTTATCGAAACGAAAAAAATTACCAGCAACTTTGGCTCCTAAGTGTAGAAGTTTTTAACACTTCTTATGAAAATCAGCACCCGAAGACATCAATGATTAAATTCCACTTGCTCAATTATCTATTGCTTCCGCATAAGGTTTCCGTATAAAAAGTACGAACCTTGACGCAACAAGCAGAGATGTACATTTGGTGGGTTCTATGAAATTGGAATTCTATCATGGTAGAGCAGCACTTGTCACTTGTATGTCTTGTACGCAACGATCTTTATATCCAAGTGGTTTCAATTCCAATTAATATTTCAGCTTATAAAGTTCAGTATGAGCTGAGATACTATGTTTCAAAGTCGTTTTATTTCAAAACCATTATCTTTGTATCGAATGACTCCATATGTTGAATACTGGTCGATTTCGTTTTCCGTGGGATGAGAAGAAAGCATCACCGCCGACCTGGGAATTAGCAGACCGTGGGCTTGTTCGGAGATCAGTAACACCTTCATGAGCAGAAGATGGGTCTACTCGATATCAGTCTCGTTTCAACTTTTTGCACTAGGTCTGATCACTGTCTTTTCATGCGGAAATTCGCTTGCACAATGGAAAAGAAATGTTATCGTCCACAAAAAAAAACCAGACAGGCTGTCTACAACGAATCTTCCTTCAGTCAATACAGTACCCGGTTATAAGTGGTGCAAAAGCGAGAATTCAACGGAGTATTACGAACTGCTACTGAATGGTCGCAATACGTGTTGATCAAGCTCTTCTTAATCCGAAGACAACATCTGAACGTTTTTCAAACAAAAGTAAAGAGGTTTTGAAAAAGAGATGCCTCCACCGCAATCGTGATGCGGGCACATTGAACAAGTTATCATCATCAATGCCATTTGCGGAAAGGCAATAGAGAATGATCTTCGTAGCTGAAAATCGAGATCTTCGTGAATACAACATTGCATTTGCTGCTTCTCTGATCGATGAAAATGTGTGACCCATAATGCAATTCAATAGAAAGCGGAACTACTTCGTTAAAAAATGATGTAGAAGACAACAAACTACATATCACCATCATCTGAAAAGACAACATCTTACATATAATTGGAATGTTCAGTGGATACGAATAGTTACGTGCGAGAAGAAAACAGTAAAAGACAACGAATAAGCGCAAGTCGCCACAAGGGCGTTGATAAAGATTAATGATCGGCTTTCTTATTAACGAAGTATGTACTAACTTATTTGAGCCAACAGTTCTTCAAGGTCTATGCCATGCAGCAAGAGTATGGTCTAATTCCTCGGGAATATCGGGCCGTAATATACAGGTAATTCGACTGAAAATTCCGAAGACTAACTGACATATGGACCAAGCGAAAGATAAGGTGAATTCTGAGGAAAATAAAATGACCACGTGAATAAAGGCGCGTCAACTAGCTATAATTTCAACGGGAATAAATTTCAGATCAGGAAACTGCACGACGCCATGTGTTAATGTATATGTACTATAATTCTAACGTAGTTTAGAAGCAATAATCAGAATGATTTATTACTCAAACGGTCTTTCGAGAATCATTATTTGTTCCATTACACTACTGGTGTGGTGTTTTCTGAGTTTTCCGCTGGCCCTTCGTTAACTGCAATATTTTGAGAGTGGTTTCCTGCACGTCCTTCCGATTCCATAGAAGCCCTAAAACATTTCCTAAGGTTTTTCTAATGTAATCGTCTGGAACGTTGACGCACCGTTTCGCCTTCTCAGGACACTTCTTTCGGTGTTTTGTGCAATGATGGTGACGTAAATGATGTCCACATCGTGTAGGACGTATGCGTTTTTCATCGTGCTTTCGTTCAGCGCTAATATGACGTTTTCTATCACGCGATCGAGATCGCCGGCGGAGAGTACTGAAACTGTTGTACTAAGAACAAATGGGAAAGGAGTTCAGAAGTGGTAGTAAAGAAAAAATCTTTTTTGATTCACCGATCTTCGTTACGATCTCTAACTCGTGGCTCCAAGCGACCTTCACCGAACAAAATTGCACGTTTGCGTTCAGCAAATTTCTCGTCTATTTCTTTCTGAAGTATAAGAGGTTACCTAGGTTCATAAATCAAGGAAATAAAGTTGATGTACCTGAATAGGAACAGGAATACGAGGAAATAAGGTGCCATACCAATCAAGCTTCGTAAGCATTATCCGAACGACTTGTCCGAACGTCATAACATCACCTCCTCCGGATCTCGGGTCAATCTCTTCTTCGTCATCCTGTTGTCAACAAAACAGCGAAGATAATTTTAATGGGAAGGATAATATAAAGCTATATCAGTAGGAGATTGTAGAACTTGCCAAATATGGTTCGAACCATTCCCATAAATCAGCTGGAGGCTGAGTGTAGCGTATATACATAAAACCCAGACCACGGATATATGGTGACACCCTGCTATTGATCATAGAGATTAATTGCTTCCTAAAACAAATTCAATTACTCTTGGACGAAATCTTCATTTTGAGGATGATGCATACCGCGTTAGTCGTACTTTGAAAAACCTATACAGCAGACAAAAGGCGGAGCTAACTACACCACCAGCTCCAACGCCGCGTACCTAAAGCCAACTATCATAATCAGCTTTTCTTTGAAAAACTAGGATAAGGCTTACTCCTCCACACATTCCTGTCATTCCTTGAACTTTTCGAGTTCCTTTTTCCCACGGTTCGAGATGTTTCACCTTAATAAAGCTTTTCTACGTGTGGCAAAGAAAGAAATTGCAGGGAAGAATTAAATTGGAGACTTACCTTATAGAAAACTTCGTCAAGTAACTGTTGAGCACTGTCGATTTCTACCAGGTGGTTCTTATAATAGTAGCTCTCCTTCACATTTTCCAACACAAGACCATTAAGATTCATTGTCTGTTGATTTCCCCAACATGACAACGTGTTGCTCTTTCTGTTACTCTGGAAATGGTGAATGAGATCTGACTATAATGCTGAGATATTTGCAAAACTCCGGACCACAGATGTCTGCGGTGGGGGACGAACGCGCTATTGTCCTTTCCGGAGAGTAACGCGTTCACCACCACACCATCCGGGTCCTTCGTTTCTCCTGTCTCTCAGTCAGTCTATCGATCTTTTGCCATCAGCAATCACCCGTATGAACAATCAATCAACCCGAAACGAAGGACCCGGATGGTGAGGTGATGAACGCGTTACTCTCCGGAAAAGACAATAGCGCGTTAGTTCCCCACCACAGACATCTGCGGTCCGGAGTTTTGCAAATATTTCAGCATTACAGTAGTTATATTTCGCAAAATACCCTGCCATTAAAAAGAATAGGCAGTAAATAAAAAGGTTAAAAATGAGATCTGAGTTTAAACAAATAACTGAAAGTTATAATTCACATCAAATAGTCTTCAGGAACAATTTGGAAATTTGAAAAGGCTAGGGGTGTTTGTGTAACATGTTTTCAAACTACAGAACTATCACCTGAATAGTTGGTATTTCGGTGGTATCGTCATCATCAATAAAGTCAGCTATGGTAAGTGGTGCAGAGACCGGTTTTGTCAATTTAGTTTGCTGTTCCATTTAGCAGGCTAAAATTACACTATTAATGAATTAATAAAACGGAAATTAGTAATAGATTTCTAAAGAGGCGTAATTCGGTTAACAAATGTTGTCACGCTTCCAGGTAAAAGACTGTGAGCGGATGTCGTGGTGGCTATCACAAGCAGGATGGGAACGACTACGTGATGCGGATGAGGCAGGAACCATGAAGGTTCATTCTATAGCGTGTAGTTGTTCCAAACGTTTAACGCTTCAATTTCAGGCTATGATGGGAAAGGGTAGTGACGTTGATCCATTGATAACGCGACTACTAAGCGACTCATACATTTGTTTCTATAACGAAGAGCCTTCTAGTTCTGGTTCCAGTTCTTCCTCAAACCTACTGAATAATATGATTCAGAAGGTCGTCAAACCTTTAACGTGAATGCTACTGAGTGAGTCGAACGCCAGTGCGATGCTGCTATGAATATCTATTGTCTTTCCAACAATACTTTTCTATTCATTTCGCTTAAATATTGACAATCACTGTGAGAGTTGTGTGTATAGTACATGATACCAAATTAGCAGGTTTATTAAATGATGTTGTAAAATTGTCATACAGAATATACACTGCATCCTGTGACTTATAGCTGAGTATTTCTATTGTTGTTATAGGTTATGGATGTTACCCGATTAACAACTTCATTCTAGTCATGTTGTTGTTGCTAATGTTTTACTAGATACCCGTGCCCATAGTGAAAGCCTACTTAGTCATAGTGTTACTGACATGTTCATTTTGTGCTACGGCTAGTGCTGTGCGTCTTATCAACACCGATTGCCCTTTCTTCATTACTTGCTACTAGTAACGGAGTCAAACATTGCATATTCAGATAACAAAGGTTTTAATAAGAGCTTCAGGACTGACAGTAACATAAACACAAGAGTTGTGACCGCTGGTTTGCTTGACGTGGAGAAAGTATTTGTAGCAATATAATTCTATTAACGTATTAAGGTTCATTACCCCAAGTAATCAATACTATTCGACATGATGTACTTAAGCATAAGAGCAGTTACTAAGCAGATCAAACCAGATGCTCAGAAGGTACGGAAAACCCTATATCTGGATGTGATCTGGATCCACGAGAAGTATAGAATCACAAGCATCCTTTTTTTATGTGAAGTTCCATACAGGAAAGAACAGTTACATGAGTGCTGAGAGTACATTCGGACTAGATCAGAAGCTGGAGTAATACAAATAAACCCAAGTGGAACATACATTTCTCAGGCGGTATCAGAAAAAAGAACCAAAACACAAAACATGGTAGGGATAAATTGGTTTGCTAGCAGCTGCAAATCGAGGGTTGAGGAGTTTCGGTTCGTAAGGCAAGTTAAACACTTCCTTACATCGTTATTTAGGGATAAAACGTTGACATAATGTAGTTCCCGGCGACATATACGAAGGCAGAGGAAGTCACACTCTAAATCACCAGTATGCCTACGAAATGGAGTCTTACTGTGTGCGGAAGGCTGCGTTCACGGAAGGAGAACTTATTCGAGTATGCAATGGATTCGGCTGTAGATGCTTGCGAAAATTTCCTAGTATTTCTAAGGTCCTCTATCAGAATGCCAACTCAGGAACAACAGTGGTAGTGAAATCGTCGAAATAGCGCAGAGGCACCTTTCACCCTGCACGAACCAAGGTGGATTCAACGACGGAAAACCAGAAATCCTCAAGCAACGGCCAAACTCAACCGAAAAATTCTAAGATTTCTCTGACAGGTTTATGGATGCCAATAAACGGATCGAATGAAGAAAGTGCTCGGATACCGATAATATGTGAAGTTGAGTCGTTTGAAAAAAAACCCAACAAAACGTATGGGACTTGTCAAATTTGGAAGCACTCAACAACACCAGTGTTTCCTCATTGTGGTACTTATGAATGTCTCCATAAAGCATTAATAATTCATTTCACTAACTTCACCTGAATCATCCGATGTCTCGCGGATGGTCGAATGACTCGAGCGGGCGCCCGCCACTAAATCTTCCATTTTTAATTCTTCGTATTTTTGTTGAGCAAACGCGAGGTGTTATTATTCTTTGTTCACGATTAAGCTGACGTTTCGGCGGATTTCGCCTTCCTCAGAGCCGCTTTCTATGAGGTTTCCACTAAGTATGTCACGTAGAGACCAACCGCACAGAAATCACATCGAAGCATAATGTGGCACATTTTTGCGTTTGCTCAACAAAAATACGAAGAATTACTTGATCAATGCCGAGGTTAATAGAAAGTCGGTCGTAGGACTTCCATTTTTATCCTTGCCGCGTGCAATAATATCCCATTGGGTTTCATTCGCTCTAGCGACTCGATGAACATCACATCTTTCTTCTAAGCTTTTCGTGAAGAACTCTAACCACTGGCTTAACTCTTTTATTTACTGCCTTTTTCTTCTTAATGGCAGGGTATGTTTCGAATTATAACTCGTATGAAATGCTGAGATATTCGCAAAACTCCGGACCACAGGTGTATGCAGTGGGGAACGAACACGCGCTGTTGTCCTTACCGGGGAGCAGTGCACTTCGCCACTACACCATCCGGGTCACTGGGTCGGTGGTCTTCCCGCAGTACATTTGACATACCGAGGATTCTAGTCACTAACAGCTCTTGTCCATCGCTTATCGTTAGTACGCATTATGTGTCCGGCCCACCTTATCTTCTCGGACGCGCGCCCTTTACCGAACATTTCCCGGATGCACATTCTTCACCTGGACCCATCCTGGATGCGCACTGTTCAGCTGGACGCTCCCTGATGCGCATTCCTCAACTGGACGCATGTTGCATGCAGCTCCGTCATGCTGAGAAGCTTTCAAAAGAGAAGCGATCTTGCTGTACAGCTTGGAATGGACAGACCTTGTAAAATGCCTATTCCACAGCGTCTGTTATTTGCTTTATATGCGACACAAATACAATGAATTATTAAAGACAAAATCAAGTAGGTCTTGACTGTTTGACTTGCGGAGAACTTTCTTCTGATACTTTTTCACATTGAACGTACATTCCGAGAACCACATGCTGCTTTCAGCTGAGCACATCAGCGCTGTACTCGTCGAAGAACGGCACAACACGAAGGTTGCTCTTAAGAATTACCCTTATACTCTTACAGGAAACAATGGGTAAAGAATAAAACTTTGGAAACCTCGTCACGAAAATGTTACGTGCCGAAAGAAACTCCCTGGAGAATCCAGAGGGCCCAGCAAAACTATCCCTTATTGTCTTTGTCAGCGAAAACACAAGAATGTCATAATTCATGTTTAGTAGGAATATCAACAATAACATTACTTAGGTAGCACTGCATTACACAGCGAAGATAAAGCAACGAAAAATCACAGAAAAGATGAGAGGTGTCACTCAATGAGCATAAATCTACATGACTAAACTGGGAAAGAAAACCCGCAGTACAAAAGAAGAGTTAAAAGGAATCCGGGCACTGAATCGATGGAACCGTTAATGGCGCCGGGGGTGGGCGATGCCAGCTGGGAGATTACGCGCTCCAGCGCCACGCGCTCGGAGAGCGACGTTTCGCTGAGTATCTGTTTTGGGCAGTCAACCTTGCGGTGGTCGGTGGAACGCATTTGCATTTGTTGTGCTTAATCCACGGTTCTTCGGTGGTCTCAGTGCTGAGTAGCTTTTGTAGACTGTTTCCTTTAGTGGTGTGTTTGCATTCCAGCTCAATACTTCGGGAAAATGGTGCGGATGAACGTTCTTGCGGAGGCGCTCAATAGCATCAATAATGCTGAAAAACGGGGAAAAAGGCAAGTACTCATCCGGCCCGCATCTAAGGTTGGTCGTGTTATTCTGAACGAACTTTTTATTATTGTAATGTGAACCTATACCTTACAATTATTCTACAACCATAGTTAGTGTCCCCTAGAAGGGCAGACATCGCTCCGATTGTTTTAAGGCTGTGCTTAGATTTATTTGTCTACCTGGTTTCTATGGTTTTTTTATACTTTGTAGACTTGCATCGGTTCTAAATACCACTGTTTTGTTTGTAATTGTAGCTAAAGTTTCTCGCGAGAAAGACGTGCAAGTTTTCCCAAAGTACTTTGGATTCGGATTTCTTGACGATTTAGGGCAATTTATGGATTGTCCTTGGGAATTTTTCTGCATTAAAGTTTGCCGTTATTTGTTTAAAAATCTAAAAAACCTTTCGGCGTTGATCAATGCCTGAGGGATGCGCCATGCATTCGACTTCATTAAGCATCGTTTGGACGTAATTCAGTGTATATCTGCCATCTGCAATGACTCGCGGTGGCCTACCGATGTATCGAGCCAGTGCTACTATCCACCTAGACAGCTCTGGTACCAATTTGCCGACCCAGAAGGTATGGAAGGTTTGATGGGCCGGGGGCGCTGGAGTCGATTCCATGTTTACAGGGCGCATCCGCCCTTTACGCCACATGCGCCCCGTTATTTGTTTACGTAGCATTATTTGTTACTTGTGATTCTGGTTCATGTGTTTCTGTTTTTTCATTGTTTCACACACTGCGTATATATTTCTTACATAAGATTCGCGTGCACTGTAACTTATTATGTACCAAACGGTTTGTCTTTATCTAAACTCCCTCATTGGAGTTTAAACTTACAGGTTATAGTCCGATTTTTAACGGTGATGATGAGGCACGGTTACATTGGAGAGTTCGAGATTGTTGATGATCATCGTGCTGGTAAAATCGTTGTGAACTTAAACGGCAGGCTCAACAAATGCTCTGTGATTTCTCCACGGTTCGATATCAAGCTTAAGGTTTGTTGTTTACACACTGCAGAGGTTCACAGTTACTGCAGTCCTAGTCAACCAATGCTGTGCTTAGGATATTGAACAATACACTACAAACCTTCTCCCGTCGCGTCAGTTTGGCTTTCTTATTCTTACCACGTCCGCTGGTATTATGGACCATGAAGAAGCTAGAAGGAGACACCTTGGAGGGAAGATTCTTGGTTTCTTCTTCTAATGTTATTGTTATATAATAAATTGTTCGAATCTAATTGTTTGTTGGTTGCCTTCTCGTTGTAGAATTGTTCCTAACTAGGAGACAGTTTAAAAAATAAAACAGTGAGAAGGAGTGGTCACGTTTGCTAGTTCACGTCATGATAGATTCGTACTTGTAAGTTGGGAAACGGTAAGAAGTAGAGGTAGTGTCAGGAGGCATAATGAATTGCCAAGTCGTAGCTGTGGTAAGAACCATAATAGAAAAGGAGTTAAACTGGGAATTAGGTGTGATTTTCTTTTCTTTCGCAGCATGTCTTCTACAGACTTCTTGGATTTCGTAGGACACTCCATTTTTCAGTAACTGCCACGACCGACTTTCTGTTAACCTCGGCATTGATCAAGTGGTTTTGTTCGTATTTTTGTTGAGCAAACGCGAGGTGTTACTATTCCTTGTTCACGATTAAGCTGACGTTTCGGCGGATTTCGCCTTCTTCAGAGCCTGGAAAGGTCAAGTTGATAGCAATCCACTCGGCCGGACGCCTCCATAACCAAACAAAGAAACCCCAAACCAAGATTTCAATCACTTTGAACACAGCTTTGCACACTCACCGCTTTCTATGAGGTTTCCACTAAGTATGTCACGTAGAGACCAACCGCACAGAAATCACATGGAAGTATAATGTGCTCCTCACATCAGATAAGCAGTTGTATATACTGCCCTATATTACGCGTGATAATGAGGCATTCTTCCCTGCGGTTCATTTTCGGATTTCTGGAATTAATCCAGAGTGCCACGAGAGTTTTTCGCGCCTGTGTTCTTGATTCGCGTGCGAGGATCGTGACACATACTTCGAAGTCGTCCCCGTTATGTCTCTGGGTCCTATGCGTGCCTAGCGGGGTATTTGGTCTATTTTTGCAGGCTAGGTGTTCTTTCATGCGGACACAGAGGGGTCTACCCGTTTCGCCAATGTATTCGTCACCACACGTCTTACAAGAGATCAGATAAACTATACCCGAGCTCATGCAATCACCGTCTCTACCACTGGGGCAAATTATGCAATTTTGAGTTGCACATAGACGGCCATATAGGCGGTTACGAACTAGCTGGCGCTTAAGATTACTCGGTGGTATTTCAACTACGCTCACCGAATTCTCTAAACCCGCCCTTCTTAAGCAGCGTTTTATAGCTGTACTTATATCATTTGAGATGAAGGGTAGGATAAACGGGACCCTTCTATCGCTAGAGTTGTCGTTTGGAGGCCTACGATTTCCTCTACACCTATTCTGAGCTACAGTTTCGTAGCCATTAGAAACGGCTATTTGCCGTGCCAAGTTCCGGGACTCCTCTCTCTGCTCTCTTCCCGTGCACACGTTGGTTGCTGTTTGAAACACGTTTCTTATAAGCGCCCTTTTCGTGTGAGAGGGGCGAGAGGAGAGGTAATGAACCAAGACATTTTTACTACTTGGCTTTCGGTACCACTTTGTAATGTAGCCATTTTCTGATAGGTGAATTTGTACGTTTAAAAATGGAAGCCATTTTTCTTTCGGCTTTTCTCTGGTGAACTTGATATACTATGACTGTGCGTTTAACAATTCGAAGCATTTGTCCATTTCCTCTTGTGTTAAGCAAAGGACAAAGCAGTCGTCTACATACCTACATTAGAGTAGCGGCCCGAGATCAGCCACCGGTGCTTCCACCTTAGACATAAATGCAATGGCAAGGCTTGGAGCCAGTCGTTGTCCTATTGCCAACCCTCTTATTTGAGCGTAGTACTTTCCAGACCATCTGAAGATTGAGCAGCTCAAGCAATCTTTTAAGAGTGCCATCAGGTGCTCTATCCTGAAGCCATACATGTTTATTTCTCCTTCGTATTGTGTAAGGAGTTCGAATATGGCTTGCATTGCGGAGTCATTCGACACGTTTGTATAAAGGGCGGTAAAGTCGAAGGACTCCATCACGCACGCGCTGTTGGGCTGCGAAGTACGTAGACGATTCAGAAACATCTGGGTATTCGTAAGATGGGCTGAAATGTGTTTCAACAGCTGGCTAAATATCAGGGATAAAAACTATGTTATCCTGTCCGTTGACCCGTCTACGCAGCTAATGATAGGTCTAACCTTAAACAGTGATGGATCGGTAGACGCAAGATCATCGCTGGATACTAACTTATGTTTTTATAAGTAAGTACAAGACGGGGCATGTTGGTAAGTCAACTTTAAGTTGAGAGATAACTGATGGTTTTAAACCAGCAGCCCTTGCCATTTTGGCCCATTCGTGGTTTAGTTTTCGGTATTTACTTTTGAATTCGTCCTCAGATGATGGGCGATAAAGCCATTTTTCCCTAAATTGTAGTCGTGAAAATTCCGTGTTCAGAGGTTTTAGTTCCAATGAGCATGAGTAGGAAGTTAGCTTCAAGTGCGTTATACATGGACATTTTCTTCAGGTCCTGCGGAAGATTGACAATAAACAATACGCCGACAATTGTCCAATGTTGGTACAGCATGGCCAATGGTAGTATAAAATCTGTAAGGTTATTATAAGGATAGTGTTAGGAAGCAAAATGGCTTACGTTAAAGCACTTGAGTTTCATGTTTTATGTTATAGTGAAGGATTTCTGCGTATTAAGCAGGTGTGCACCGATTGCCCACAGATTCTATGACCATTTTTGCCTTTAGTGAAGCGAACTGCTGCTGCCATCCATGAAGACGAAATGTAGGAGCATGTGATCACTAAGCTTGAATAGTTCTCGTTGTCCTCCCTATGACATTATTCTGACTCCAGCAGAGTTGTGTAGAGACAAACGATAATCAGATAAGCAGATAGTTGCGAACATCACAAAGGCCTTCCTTTCTGTGCATTGAGACGGTGTCAGTAGGCTTCCATTTTCCATCTACCTCTCCTTGCAACGGCCAGTATGGGAATTCGATGCAGCCATGAAAGTAGGAAGCGGGTGTCGGATAAATCGGAGTGGAAATCTTGAATGACCCTATCCATTGGCCTTCTGGGTTCTTACGAATTCTCTGTTCCGATTCCGAAAAGTCTTCGAGAACATGCAGTTCGTGAAGTTCCAGAGAGCGTTGTGAATGTCGTATCCAACCTTTTCGGGCAGAATTGCCGCACTTCCTCGGGGTTGTTGTTTATCGCTTTTTTTTGGGAAATTTTACATCCTTAAAAGTAAGTTGGGCGCATGTGGTGTATGGTGCAGTGGTCAGAAGCGCCCTGCAACACACGGAATCGATCACGGCGCCCATGGCCGACCAAGCCTTCCGTCCCTCCGGGGTCGGTAAATTGGTATTGGACTTGTCTGAAGGAATAGCAGCCCTGGGTCGATATATCATACCGCGGGTCACTGTGAAGGCCAGATACGCGTTCAGTCACCTCCAACGATGCTTAATGAAGTTGAGTGCACGGCGCATCCCTCAAGGAGTGATCAACGCCCAGAGCTCTATCTTTTATTCTTTAAACGTCGGTTGGCAATTTCCTAATGGAGGTCTAGTGGAAACTGTACCACAGTTGTGAAGTCAAAGTTTTTTTGGAAAGAAAGATGTTCTAGTAGGTTATGAAAGTGTAGGATAGTTTGGTTGCATTCTATGTCGCTGAAGATTTCCTCATGCTAAGTGTGAGCATATATAAAACTCAGGTTTTTTCTGCTTTTAGTAAATCCTTTCCAAGATTTTCCGGCAGTCGTTGCTTTTTGGGAGGTGAAAGAGCTATACAAAGAAAGCTGTGGATTTCGAGCTGACATTGGAATGTGAATTCAAAGGATATGGTCTTTCATTTACGTTTTCTCGAAGTCCGTAAATTTATTGGAGAGTGATGATGGAGACTATCGAAGCTTATCCTGGATCACCAATGTTCTACACGAGTCGAGCGTTGTTTTGCAAAAGGATTCATCGATAATTGCTGACAAAATCACGAACTCCGTTGGAACTCTTCATTGTAGCACGTTCTGAGAGACAGGCAGTCCCACTGCGTTCCTCCGGGAGCATAAAAGGAGCCATGTTCACGGTCTCTAGTTGTGCACGCCAACTACGTCGTAGCCGATTTTGCTCTCGAACCATGTTCATAGTGAAGAATTTCAATACCGACATGAGTATGTTATAAGTGCGGATCGTTATCACAGCATTTCCATAGTGTAGCAATGGTACTATAAGTACCCTCAGGTACTTGCAAACTGCACTCATCTTAAGTTAGCCAATCGAGGGCTCTTTTGTTCCCCAGGGAGATGTTATGTTTTTGGTGCACTTCATAAACGACATGCGTATTCTACTGAGTTCTACCATCAGCTGATGACCTTAAAGCTTCCAACCTTAGCACTGTCGGATCGAGCCGGGTGGACGGCAGCACAATGTGCGTCATATTGCCGCCCTTCGCGCCCTAGTACAGAATTGTCCGTGGAGCACACTTGCACGAGTTAGAGATGACTTGTAGATGGCGAAATATGATTTGGCTTTTAAATTTTGAGCAAAGATATCTCATGTTCGAGTGAACTCCTTAAGTGAAAAAATAATTACGAGAATGTTTAGCATGGCACAGCTTTGCCAACGAGACTGGAGTTTTCCTACTTAACTAATGTGAAGTTCTTATATCTGTATCTGACTTGCTGTACAATCTGACTTACCTAGTCTTCTTTTATGTATTATATGTTCTACTTTTGTGCGTAAGTACTCTGTTGAGAATACTATAGTCCGTGTGTTGTTACATGGTTTCGCAGGCTTGGTCGAAGTGTGATGGAGATGAAATTCACACTTCTAATGTTTAGAGTCCCATGCTGCTTTAGTACATCAACAATGGATCGTGTAATTGGCTTGATCGATATGGATTGTTTCTATGCACAGGTCGAACAAAGAGAAAGACCGGAGCTTTGGAATACGCCAGTGGCTGTGGTTCAACATGCAGGAGAAGGGAATCCAGGGCTGTAAGTTGGAGCTGCTTCACTGGAAATGCATTTTTGAATTCGTGGCTGCCGAAATTCTGTTGTTCATTAGCGACTTCTTTTGTTGTTCGTATATATGTTCAGAAGTGCGAGAGACTACATTATTTAACAGGATCCTCGCAGTCAGCTATGAAGCACGGAGTTTTGGTGTGAAACGTGGGATGATGATAGCGGAAGCCAAAGCTAAGTGCCCTGAACTCAATGTTTGTTTCGTGCCACAAGGTGAACATATCGACAAAGCAGATATTCAAAAATATCGGTGAGCGTGAGTGGAGCGTTTCTTGTGTCCATAATTTTTTGTTTAAATGTTAGACCAACTAAGGGATGCGAGCGCTGAGGTGTTCGACGTCCTCAACTCATTTGATGATCGTATTGTAGTGGAACGAGCCTCAGTCGATGAGGCATTTCTCGACCTCACTGAGATGGTGGACCAGAAAATTGTCGAGTTTGGTGCTCACTCGCTGTTGAAAGATGTGAGTTCTTCAAAGTGACAGTAGAAGGCATAAATTTGTTTTTCATAAAAGGCGCGCGTAGCACAGTGGTCGAAGACGCCCTGCGGTACGTATAAGATCGATCCCAGCGCCCCTGACCCGCAGTCTTCCATCCCTCCGGGGTAGGCAGATTGCTACCAAACTTGTCTGGGAGGATAGCAGCATTAGCTCAATACTTCGGTAGAGCACTGGTGAGTCATTGTAAAGGCCAGATAATCATTCAATCACTTCCAACGATGTTTAATGAAGTTGGGTGCATGGCGCATCCCTCAGGTATTGATCAACGCCGAGAAGTTTATCGTTTACCCTTTATTCGTCTGCCTGACTCTATTTCTTGATAGAACTTACGTTTTCTGGAAACGTCTCATCATACCATCAACGATGTCAACTATAGATACTGCAGTCTTATAACATCCTTACTGCGTTCGTAAACCAAAACCAGGAATATGATGCTATTTGGAAATGTCACTTTCCATGTCATTTTTCATGTTTCTTAGTGTGACACCTGAAAGAATAGTGTTAGAACATCTTTTTAAAAGTGAAGGATAAAGAATCTGCTGCATAAGTCGTCTGAACATTGCTAGCTTAATGTGAAAGTGCGAGAACAATATGGATGAGATTATCAGTCTAAAGTGCTCAGTGATTTCGCATTCCTCATTAGTATACCCCGTGGTAATAGAGCTAGGAACTTTCGAAATGTTTATTTATTTCAGCTTCTAAGCAATATGTCTTCCGCGTTTCCCACTACTCATTTGGCCGATGGAACTGACAAAGACGGTGACGAGGAGTATGATCGTGAGAGTAAAGTGCGCAGCTGGCTTGAAGTTCAGTGTGCGAAGGAAGTCAGCCATGTTCGTTCAAATGAAATACGACATTTCTCTTTTAGTTGTGTCCTACAAGTTTTTTTGGACTTAGTGTTGTGAATATCCATTTATGAATGGTAGCAGATTCAGCTCCGTCTCGCTATCGCCGCACACACCATCGAGCAAATGCGTGCGAAGATTCGAGAACGCACACAGTTTTTCTGCTCTGCAGGCGTCGCCAACAATAAGGTATTTAACTTAGCGTACTTGCTTACAATCTTCACTTCAGCTTCACAGACATAAGGGATAAAAGAGCTCTCGGCGTTGATCAATTCCTTAGGTATGCGCCACGCATTCGTTTTCATTAATCATCGTTAGGGGCGATTGGACGCATATCTGGCCTTTACAATGACTCGCGATGTGCTACCTATGTGTGGGCCAGTGCCGCTACCCTTCCAGGCAGAAGTCTGGTACCAATTTACCGACTCTGGATGGATGGAGGGTTTGGTGAGCCTAAGGCACGGGGATCGATCCCGTGTGCATTGCAGGGCGCCTCTGACCACTGCTCTACACGCGGACATATTCACGGACATATTGCTTCTTATTGACGTTAGGTCACTAATTTCCGCCACCACTGCACACAAATGGAATTCAAACTACTGGAAGTTGTCAAACCAGTTATATTTGGAAGCACTGAGTTCGTATCAAAGATGAACCACCAATGATAAGATGATCACTGCTGCGAAATTTCTAGGCTAAGCAAATATTGAACTGAATCGCGATGAAATTCGTGATGATTAAATACGGCCACTTGTGGAAGAGTTCGAACAGCATCCAGGATACAAGCTATTTTCGATTCACTTTGTTGTCAACGATTTTCTGTTTAAGATGTTAGCGAAATTGGTCTGCTCTCGTCATAAGCCCCGTCAGGAAACTGTTTTGCCATCAGAATTTGTGGACATAATCTTCGTGGAAACTCCTATCGGTGAAGTACGCATGTTGGGTGGTAAACTTGGTCACGCCATTCAAAATTGCTTTGGCATTAGGGTAAGTTTTTCATGTATGCTGATTGATTCAGTAGCTTACATGCCCGTAGCCCTCTAGACAATGTCTGATCTTGCGGCGATTCCTTTTGAAATGATTAAACGTCACTTCGAAGGTCAAGCGCAGTGGATTCACCAAATCGCAAAGGGATATGATAGTGAACCGGTCTGTTTATCGTACTTCTATGTTTGGCATTGGTACGATTTTTAACATATAACTTTACTGTGCTGCAATATTTTATTCAGTTTGGTTGTTTAAGGTAAAACAGCGCGATTCTCAGCTGTCTATCGCTGTCAGCAAGAACTTTCCGGGGAAGAATGCGTTAAAAACCATTGCAGACGTGCGAAGTTCAGTTATATGTGACACATGATTTTTTCGTAGAAAAGAAAACACGCCTGTAGAAGTTCAAATTTTGCATGAGGGAACTACTTTTATTGTTCTTCTAGGGTTATTCGTAGTAGTCATCCAACTTTAGGTTCATCAGTTTAATATTGTTAATTATAGCTAGTTACGTGTCCATGGTACTGCACTTTTATTTTGCAAGTCACTGATTCAATAATGTCTCGAGCCTCCTTCGCCAGGGGATCACCAGCGTGGTACTGGCGAGGCTATGACGCGTCTATAGGAGGCAGAGAAGGGGTTATACACGAAACACACGCGATTTTGTTCTTCCCTGGAATGCGAATGAATCCAAGGGTTGGACTATGTCTTTCATGCGCATCTTTTGTGCGCATTTAACTCGTGAATGCGTGGGCGGATGTCTTTGTGCGCGTACAAATCATTCTTTACGTGGCAATTCAGCCCAAAGTCTGCAATCATATTACTGCGAAGCACATGGAGATACACATGGTACATTGATGGAGTCGTCTGTAGCAGATAACGTCCACATTTACTCCAACAGAAACCGGAAAGCTACCTGTGACTATGCCCAGCTACCACGATAAGAACTGGGAAAGTTTTCTATGAGGATCAGTGGCCAAACACAGTAATACGAATGGCCCTCATTCCCTTGGCGGTAAAGATCCCGATGCCGCAGCGATGGTAGGACGAGTACGAGTACGAGTACTGCTAAAGTCTGATGGCCATTCTAGACTACCCAAATCTGGAACGGCTGATATGATGACCAGCACTTGCACACGCACTGGTATCTGAGTCCTCCACTGAGAGTTTGATTGTATAGGCTAAGGAAATTAGGCGTGGTGTTATAAGAGGCGTGAAGACAGCGTCCATTTAACGAAGTTCGTGGTACGTAGCGTTCTTCGTGCACATGGAGAAGTTTTAAAGAGAAGGCCACACTACCGATTTCATTGCTAAGGTTGGACGCAGGAGGGTGTGTGAACTCCGCATTGATACCCATAGTTTGGAATTGAGCGGACAGGTTAAGCAGCTCTGGAAGCTTATCATGATGGCTAAGACCGTCCATGGTATCTCATAATTTTAGACGACGTTTAACGTGAAAGTCTACTATTGGAGATTACCGTAACGAAGTAGACTACATCACGGTAAATCCGTGGTTTTCCCCCCACTAATCTCGTTGTTGTTCCAAATATTTACATGGAAATGGACCGTTGGAGATTCACCAAGAGACCTGTGTTTCGGAAACACTTGAGCAGAACTGTCACAATTGCAAAAATAGCCGAAGATGCAGTGGTTCTCCATTCCATTCTCGTTGGCTAGCAATTGTGCAGCACCCGTTCCATTAAAGGTAAACATCTGGTGAACCTTCCATCTGTTCTAATCAACACACTGACTCGGCTTTTCGCATGTTACCTGGCAGAGTTCAAGGTTCGTATTCAATAGAAGATCAGCAAGACTGTTATTGTGCAAAAAGGGAGACCTCCACGATATCGGCAACTATCTCCCAATCTTCTGGGTGTATGTCCTCTATAAATTCCTCGTTGACAGGACAGATAACAATGTGAGCAAGCAGGGACTCGGAAAGGATTTAGTGCGATGGATCACATCCACACGATAACAAGATTCATTGAAGTATTGCAAAAATGCGAAAGACTGCTCTGTCACACTTTAATCGATTTGAAGAAGGCGAGAATTGAGAAAGATTGAGAAATTCATAAAATTGAGTTTTCAATTTTCTCAATTGAGAAAGAAGCAGTCATCATGGAAGCCTTGGACACCCAGGGCGTCCCTACTCATATGAAGATTCTTCGTGAGCTGTATAGAAGTCTTGTAACCAAAATATCATCATTCTTTAATGATACTAACATACTTCTCATAAAAGAGGTTAAGCAAGGCAATACCTTCTCGCCAAAATTATTTACCGCTACCCTCGAGAACGCTATGCGAACAATGGAAAGGGCCAACATGGGAGTGAAAATCGATTGTCGGCAATTATACCATCTTCGTTTTGTTGGTGACAACATTCTTATCACACCAAGCATTATCCAGGAGGGACAAATGGTTGCCGACTTTAATAACGCTTGTGGAATGAATGCTGTTCGACTAAAACTCACAAAAATGATGTCTATGAGGAACGGACCTGTTTCCGATGTCTCACTCACTTACGCTCGACGGAGGGAATATCTAGAGATATTATAGTCGTGTCTCCGCTCCATGAAGTCAAAATAGTGAAGGCTCAGCTCCAGAGCTGAGCAGTTTCGAGCGAGTTTTTGATAACATCGAGGGTGTAGTGATGTGGAGTAAAAACACTTGAATCCGTCCGAGTAGTTCTGTTTCTGCGATTCTTCGTGCCGTAACGTGCCTGGCTGGAGCATGGACGCTAGGTAAGCATGGTGAAAAAACACAGCGATATGAAACACGAAATTGAAGGGGCGACACTGGAGATCACAAAAACGAGAGAGGTAATCGTGGCGCCGGTTCGCGGTGACAACCAAAAATTAGAAACGCCTGTATTTACACGAAGATGTCAAAAAATGTGGAAGACTCGACAAATGACCTGTACTAACGAGAACCGCAAGATACGGCCTCTTGGCGGTCGAGTCTCATGTGTTCTTAAGGTCTCAATAGATAACCACCTACTCGATGGTCAGAGGTTTCCACGAAGATCCTAGAAGATAAACATGATGCTCAGTTAGTCCTTAGAGCGAACTCGAGCGAAAGGCGAGCTCTTGCAGTGACAAGGAGCAAGCGCAGATTTTACTGGCGCACATCCTGGAGTTAGTCGACGTTCAACGAGAAGGCAGGTGGTACAGGTGAATTTAATAAGAAAGTACAGTTGGGAATATTGCGTGAGGCTAGTCTACTTCTGAACACCATCTTTCAGATGGATTGAAGGACTGTCGAAAGAGCTTTCAAAGCGGCTTGTTGCTGATCAAGTGAAGGTAAAAGTTATGCAACTGGTGCTACTACGATGTAGTTAGACTCTCAGGCAGGCTATTTTTTCAGTTCTATTTCATAAATTCGGAGAGACTTTCAGAATAAACGAACTGCAGAAAACATAGTACTTGGCATTTTGGGGGAAACTTATGCATCGAGAACATTAAAAATAGCATCCTATAAACCACAAGTACTAGCTGAAATTATTTGGGGAGCAGCAAAGATCTACAACCGAGCACCGTCTGGTAGCGACCAGTGGTATGTTTTGTAAACGTTTGTTACAATCTGAATACGTCTCATATGTTTCATGCATTCCATAGTTCCATGCAAGTACCTTTATAGGATTCCACCCGTTTTCAACTTATCGATGTCCGCTTCGCGATTCCTAGAAGGTGTCAACGCGCAGTCCCAGAGTATTATGGGATGGGTTGAGAAGCGCTTGAAGCTAAGCGAATCCGGTACGCTTTTATTGTTTGCTCTAGGCAAGATTGTCTTGACGGTGTTTTAAAAGATGCTGTTGCCTTAGCATTTAATTAACCTGAGTAAAGTATTACTATTGCAGTGGTAGGACCGGAATGTTTTTTTTTAGGTATCAGTGCCTTCAATTCTTCTCCAACTTCTCCTCTTAAACCACGAATTTTTGTGAAGGGTGTGCTTAAACCGCCTGGAGAAACGGTAGGATTTTTCTCATTTTTATGAATGAGTACTGAAGAGGAATGTTTGAATCAGGTCGCTGGTCCATCTAGTAATACCTCCACACCTAATAACTCGCCAGAAAAGATTTCTGTAGCAGCACTAAGTTTAGAATCACATGCTGAGATTAATGTGGACGACGACGGATGGCAGGTAACAATTTTTGCGTAGCGCCATTGATGTTTTATTTTAATGCTTTATTCGTCAGATTTATGACCCAGCACAGTTCGAAACCGCTGCTACTTCAGCAGGAATTCCTGATGAGGAACTTGTTGATTCAGGTGTGATCTCATCCATAGCATTCAATGAACTTCCAGCTGATATTAGAGAGGTTTGTTGTTGCATCATATTTCATGGCATTTTAATTGAGTGAAGAAATATTTTCAGGAGTTAGCTCACTTCCATAAATTGGATCAGGCAAAGAGGTTGAAGGAAGCGACTTCAGAACGCGAAAAGAAAAAGAATCTTAGCAAAAAAAGGCTCCCTACAACAATTGTTAAAAGCTCTCCAGCAAAGAAGAAGAAGATTGATGCATTTTTCAGAAAGAATTAATGCATTCATCTGCGACTGTTTAAAGAAGTTTTCAAGGGTTTTATAGAAGATATTGTGTGGCCATCTCCATGTTAGTAACTATGCGTTGTTAAAATACAATGTTACTTATATCCAATAGAAGATATAGCTTACAGTTTGACAGCGTGTGTTCTAAGCCAGCGGCAGTGTATGTGTTGAGACGGCACTGAACATGCGTATTCCATGTTATGTTACGAATGTTCCATTTTTCACTGCATACTTAATATATCCGCTCTCATTTCCTCTATTCCTTGATGTCCTGGTCTTATTTCTGCGTTTCTCTCAAACTTTGCAACTTCACTCATTCATTGATGCTCACAGTTTTATCATTTCTCTCCATTTTAATTCCTTTTTGACTGCATTTGTAAGTATTTGGCCCAACGGTAAAAATTTTCGTAAGCGTTGATCTTTTTCATTTCAATAGGGTAAGTAAGGTCGTGCGTATGTATCCGTGTACATTGTACCCGTGTATATTACGCTTTGGATTAACCGCCTTTTTTAGAAGCTTCTCAGTTTTCGTTAGTAAACCTCCAGAGTTTGTTTTTTGTTGGGTCACAAGAAGATTACTCAGCACAGGTCTTGATACTTTACAACAGCATCTTGTAACACTCTATGGGGTCATTGATTGCACTTGTCACAATTAGGTAATGTATCACTGATGCTCGGGTTCTATTTTACTTCCTATTTTTCGCCCAATGATGACTTCCAATTTGGAGCTGGATCTTTGCACTATAAAGCTCACAAAGCGTTCGTGTCCTGCAGGACGCACGTATCCTAGTGGAGTTCACTCTACAGTTCTTTCCATCCATCTGTCGTCTGTTCTTCTCATGTGGCCAGCCCATCTAAGTTTCGCTATCGATGTATATTGGATCTTTGGATCCTGAAAATGTGACAGGTTTCGAAGATCAGAGCTTCGCATTCCGGCTAGGTGTTTAGAGTGCTGGTTATATTTCAGAAAACATCGTCCAAGCGCTCTATGAGTAGTGCAGAGTATTCTTGACGTAGGTGAAGCATCAGCCCACCTCTCTTTAGCATAACAACGCTGGGACTACCGTTGAATCGAAAGGGTGAGCGCGGATTTCCGGATCCTTCATTTCGTCGGTGGCTTCTTTGAGAGGCCCCAATGCGGCCCAAGCTGCTCCTCTGTCTGATTCCTCTTTCATGTTGTTTTCCGCGTTCAATGATCACCCAAGGTACATGTCCTAGATACTCACTGCAATCGGAGTGCCACTTAGTTTAACTTGTTCGCCTTCGCAAAATGGGTTTTTCATGAACTTGGTCTTCCGATTTATTCGCAGTCCGCTCCTTTTTCTCTTATTCTTTGAGTTCACTGATCATCGTCTCTGCTTAGCTGGTACTTCTTGAGATGATAGCGATGTTGTCGGTGAAACGAACGTTTAACAAGAATATTCCATGAGTACGTACGCCTTTCCAATCCCAATCAAGTGACTTTATTATCCATTGCAATGCGGCATTAAACAGCTTTGGCGATATTGTGTGGCCCTATCGAACGCCTTTTCCTATGGATATGGTAAGAGGTCGATGAAAAAGCTGTATTTTCGTGATGCAGTTCCAATAACAGTCACATAGAGTTCTTATGTGGGACGAGCCTACTCTTTTGTGTACGAGCGCTGATAGGATTGCACTCGTTTCGACACTGTCAAACGCTTCATCATAGTCGACAAAGGATAGAACTGTAACGGCTAGCAGTGCAAGAATATCAAAGTGTTCGCGGGAGTGAATTGGAAGTGAAGGATCGCTTGTAATCTGCCTCAAACTTGGGTAATTAAACCTTTATACGTTTATACATACTTTTTACGCAACAATGCAGTGATATTTGCAATGTATGTACAATAAATTACAAGTGAGGTGGGTTTTTAGCTAATAAAATACATTAACAATAGTGTATGCACCAATGTAACGGCTCATAGCGCAAGAATATGAAAGCGTTCGCGGGAGTGAATAAGAGTGAAAAATTACTTGTAAAGTAGCTGTGAGCAATGAAAGTATTGAGCTTATGTTAACAGCACAACGTCATTGCATGAGAATCGACGATAACATTAATGTATTAGCAATGCAGGAGCTAAGGATTACAATTAATAGCACTGCAACCTAAGTAAATGAGTTTGCAAAGAAAGATTAGGCGGGAGGGAAATGATGATGGAATGGCAACGACGATCTCCAAGGTGTCGTCATAAGCCAAATGACAGTGCTAGTGGGCGTGGCTACGTCCAAGCGAGTGGTGCTGGTCATAGGGTGAAGACTCGAGTCGCGGAGTCTAGTCCTCAAGCAATGAGGCGTACCCAACAGCATGCCTGGTGGCGTGACTGATGGCTACAAGACGCTGTGTCTAGTGACGTGCCCGATGGCTAGAATGGTATGTTGATGTAGGGCAAGCACGCGGGCGTTGTGGCAAATGGAGTCTCTATCGACTTATAGAATGTGCTTGTTAGGTAGATAGAGAATTCTCTATCTGATAGAAGAATTCTCTATAAAGACTAGAGTCAGGTGGTATTCCCGACAAACTTCGATGACGCTGGACACGGTTTCGATGTGGTTTATGCAGCAAAATCCTTGTCGAAATCCTGCTCGCTCCACTGGTTGCGCCTCATCCAATGTCGTTCTTATGCACACAAGGATAAACTTCGTGAAGAGATTGTAGAGTGCGCTCAAGAGGCTTATCGGTTATGAAGAACCCTTCGGTCACCTTTCTTGGGAAGGATGACCTTGCGCGACGTCCTCCACTGGTTTGGGATTTTTTCCTGTTGATAGTAGGCCGTCATATAGTTTGCGAGAAGTACGTGTAAATTATGGCTTCCAGGTCTAACGAAACTGGCTGTGATATTATCGGGTCCTGGAGCTATGCCTCTTTTCATGCTTTCTATCGCAACTCGAAACTCCGACAAAAGAATTCCAAATGATTTTTCTCCAGCGAGGATATCAGGTTCCGGGATGGGAATTGTGGAACGGAAAAGATTGATGTAGAACGTTTCCGCTATTAATTCCATATCATGGCGGGAAGTTTTGACGATCCAATCTTCGTTCATTAGTGCTGACAGCGGAATACTATGGTGACATAAATCCCGACGATATTTTTTCGGACTGCTTCTTTTCTGCGCTGCTTCCAGTAGTTTCTTCTGCCTGGAACGATGTAGGTCTTCCTGCAGAGCTCTTCTGCAGCTGGCATTTATTACTAGCCGTATTAAACGTGTTGCAGTAGGATCAAGCTTGCAACTCCTTAGCAGTAATGGAGATGCGATCTGGTCTTCTTGCTTGGGGAACTGAGGCAATTTGGCACACTCTTTCAGTCTTTCGATAAGCAGCTCGTCGGGTGTTCCTTAATCTGCCAGTCACGTTTGAATAGGATTTCGTTCGGAGTGTTCTCGTCGTATACATCTAGACTTTTTCCTTGTGGTAGATGACATGAAATTCTTTTACGGCATACGGATGAATCGAGTCTTCGCGCGAAGAAAGCGGTGATTAGAATCAGTACAGAATGACGGAGACTTCCGATGTTTCAAGTATGCAGCACCCTCTGTTGGTTAGAATATTGTCGATCTCCATATAAGCCATGCCGCTTTCTTTCTTCTGGAAAAACGACTTTCCGTGGAAGAGATGTGCTCCAGACAGAAGTCCTGCGAGACGGCTTCCATTCTCATTTCTTTCCCCGAATCCAAAATTTCCGATCCTGTATTTGCTCTCGTTGGCTTTTTCTACTCCGGCGGCTTACTACTACTTCTACTTTTCTAAGTATCCGACAACAAATTTTTAGTATGCTTTATCATTGTGGATAACTTCCTCCAACTGATAGTAAAACGCATCTGATTCGTACTCATTAGTTGCATCTATCGGTGAGTAACGTCTGGCAATTACGATCCTCCCATGACGCGTTAGTTGGAGACGCAGGACGGCTATATGAGGGGAACGGATCTCGTATGAGTCCACGAGATGGGGAGTGGACGGGTGGTCAACAAAGCCTACGCCGCCCGACATTTCGCGACGGGACCTTTTCTCCGCGAATGAGAAGGGTCCTGTTGTTTAGTTGGCACATGCTGGTTTTCCTGATTTTTATTTATTACAGTACGATCACATGAAATTTTTGCGATCTGCAGCTTTAAGAAGTGCATGAAGATCGGCGTCCATGGAGTGTTCTAGGGGATTCATCATCCTGGCAGGGTCTTCCAAGTTGAGAAGGAATCCGGTGTTTCCATCAGGAAGCCGAGCTAGGAGTAAACCAATACCAAGATCCGTCACCGTCGTGCTATTAAACTAGTCGCGTGGTGCCAAATCGATAATTAGGGGGTTGGCCTTTATGACTCTTTAGTATAATTTAGTATGGGCTTAAAGTTTGAGATGCTGGGTTCTTACTGTAAAAATAGATATATATTTGGTGAATAGTTAAGTTTGGTTTGGCCTGCATTGTGCGAACGCTCTACGTAGACTATCCGAAGACTATAGAGAGAATCAGCTCGAGCAGCACTCGTCCAGATCATAATGAAAACGAAAATCCTCAAATAGCAGCGGAAACCACATGGAAAAACTTCGAAGACCGTCGTGGATGATGATTGCGAGAAAACAAATCGAATGCAAGAAGTACTGAGATCCGCACAGCAGATGTGAAGGCAATTCAAAACGTATAAAATGTATTTGCGCACGTATATATACTAATTATATATTGTGTCATATATATTGACTGGGTACTGTGTTGGTTTATGAAAAGTACACACATGTGGCTAAAGACACAGCTGGTGCGTTTGGCTGATGGTGTCTGTTCCACCACAAGCGCGTGCCTCCTGTCTATCTATATTCCTAGACGAGTGTACACACGCCACTGATTTCTCACACGAGGATTTAGCCGAAGTCAGACATGGGTCGTCCACTGAGATGGCTACTATCGCCACTACCTATTCTGAAACTCTGTCAGCTGGTACGAACGCTTTTGGTATCTTTTGATCCATTTTAGTTCGAATGCAGTGAATTTAAGCAAGCCACGCCCAGTAATATCGTATACCTGGACTCCAATCTATAGAATTCTTCTCTATTTTGAAATATTTTTAGAAAAGTTTTAAATCAGCTGAGATATTTTTATGGCGGTAAGAACATCGTTTTTAAAGCCGCATGCGCACATACCAAAGTCTACTACAGTTCATGGAATTTTTCTGTTTTATGCAGGACTTTCCACCCACTTACACCGAAATGTAACTTCTGTCCAATTTTTTAAGTGTTTTTTTAATTTAACAAATTTCTCCACTTCGAAACGTCGACGTTCAGCTTAGTGCTTCCCAGTGCTCGGATCGTTTTCTGGCTTTCTGGTTTTCTGGCTTTTCTGGCTAACAACAATAAAATAGCAACAATGTTTGCGTGTCACCCACTAGACAATATTTCCAGGTAACGGTAGTTTCTTCACAGCTACAGTTCGTTAGTGGTAGTCTAGCAACTAATTTGAATTTACCATTTAAGGCGAGGCATTCACTTTACCGGAAGCTCATCGTTGGTGTTTACTTCTATCATGGCAACAAAAACAATGGATCCTTCCTATACCACCTGTCACCATATAAAATACTTAGCCGTCTTCAAAGATGTAATCACAATGTGTCTTGCATTTAAAAAAGGCGACTGAAGTATTTGCGATAAAAATAAAATATTCTGAGGGCAGATCTTCTAATCAGCTTCTTCACCTGGAGAAGTCAGCATTCTTTTTAGCGTCCTCTCCAATTATACCTCCACTTTTTATTTTTGACGTGTGAAGAATAGTCATGGGTACACTCCATTCTTTACTGCCTCATCGCTGGGCGTTCACCTCGTCGACTAGTGGAATTGATCATCTACGTTTCCCATGCTGAGAAAAAAAATTCATAATTTCTATCCGGAAGACCAGTCAGGAGTGAATCAGTGTCACGAATCAGTGCTGTGCTCGTACCAATATATAACAATATATTCGAGACCCCGGCGAAAGGAAATCATTCCAAGATAGCAAGTTACCAGTCAAATAGGAATTAGATGGGACCTGCGCAATTATTTGTAATTCGTGAAGACGGGCTACTCAAGTATTAATAAAGTAAATTACGACGGTTATTTCTTCTTTCTTATACTTAGTTTTGTTTTTAGCCATACGTTCAGATGGACTCTTGCTTGAAGTTAGACAGTGTTGCGTACTTACAAGTCAACCGGTGTAACGACCTTCCGGCACGTTAGATATGGTGAATATATTTGGTGAAGAAAAACAGTTTGAAAGAGAACCGGATATGATGACCCAATCACACGTGGACTCTTGCTCTGTGTTTGATTGGCTATTAATCAAGCACCAAGCTTTCACGTGTTTCCAAACTCCAAGAACAAAGTACGGAACACCTTTTTCAACCATCTTCCTTTAAACTCACAACGAATAATCAATACGCTGCTTAATAGATAAGGTAACATGGAGATTGTTGTAAAAAAGGAGCCGATAAGTTATCCGAATAAAGTCTTTTGCAATAAATTGTTAACTTATCAGTAAAGCGATTCATTAAAGTACGAAGAGCTTCACAGTGTGACAAGCAGTGATAGGCAAGAAAACTTGTCCGAAGTCGTAAACCATCCTTCACCAACAGAAATAGTACTGAGATTGCGCCATAACTTACTAGGAGACTGATGCTTAGCCCACGTTACCGAAGTTTTTCATAGCACTTGTGTGTAATTTACTTGTAGATAGAGTCCTAACATCTGTGGTTTTGTTTTCTCTTTGTTTGATCACAGGGTAAAATCCTTGTCTATGTTTCTATGTTTCGTTCCAGTTCCGTTTAAGAACAACATTTGAGGTGTCTCTTCTCATCGTTGTGGTCTTTCTCATCGATGGTCGTATCCAGTGGAAAGCATATTCAGTGATCTACGCTCTGGCCTTCATACTTATCTTCGGATGCACCATCACTCTATTTCTGCACTATTTTGAAGTGCAAAAAATCGCCAATCAGCTGCCATGGATTAAACTGGTAAGAAATCATTACTAACTAGTTTAAAAAACCTGGCGAAGACCTCCTTTTGTGTCAGGAGTGGGATAGCTAACGTTTGCTCCAATAAATTAAAACGAGAAACAGTGGAATATCCATGTCAGCACATTCTTGGTGATCACTAATTCCCGCCTTGTTCGGCATGCATTTGATCGAATGCATACGGTCCAAAATTCCACTCTCAGAATAGCGAGACATAACATAATAACGGTGACGAGAGACAACGACTCGTCATGAGACGTCTTGAATTTTTAACAACACCTTTGGCCCAATAAGCAAAAATTCTCCGCGTGACTCATGAATGTAACTAAACTTATCCCAGTAACTATTCCTGGTAAATCGTAATGTATAGAAAGTAGCTTCTTCTTGCACCTTGCTGGGTACCAAATCTCTTGTAAGAAAGCAATTATTTAATCAAAAAATATCGTAAAAAGCTCAATCCAGAAAGGATATAATCGAAAAGATGCACTAAAATCTATGAGTATTGTATAAAATAGCCACGTAGCTCTAAAATAGCCCATTCAAAACAGGCCATGAGGTCGTATATATATATATATATATATATATATATATATATATATATATATATGTATATACATATGTGTACATAGGTATGTATATGTGTATATGCATGCATATATAGATATATGTATATATATAAACGACGAACGAATGAGTACGTATATTTTTGCACCCTACTAGGTCTACTGGAACAAGTCCTAATTGCTGCGATTAAAGCGATCATAGTTAGATCTGAATCTCAGAAAGTCTTATTCGCTAATTTTCTATCGAAATTATGATCAATTTGGAGGGTGTCGAGTATTATTTAGAAAAATTCGAATCTCTGAAGCAAATATTTCCTTGAGTGACCGGTTGGTAGAACAATAAAAAAGTATTCATTGCCGATTTGGGCTCCCTAGATCAATTTCGTTGACGGGTGATTGCTGATGACAAAAGATCGATAGAACTAGTTGGGAGACAGGCGAAACGAAGGACCTGCATGGTGTGATGGTGAACGCGTTACTCCCCGGATGGAACAATAGGAGGCGTTCGTTCCCCACCGCAGACACCTGCGGTCCGCAGTTTTGCAAATATCTCAGCGTTATAGCAATAAAAAAATTTCTACCGAACTTCAGCGAAAAAATATCGGAACTCAAGAGCTAATTCTAATTCTGATATGCGGCCATTCTGGGCTTAAGACCATTTCACTTTAAGGCGATGGAAACGAACGAAGGAGTTGCTCAGCTGTTAAGAACGTGTGAAGGGGTATTGTCTTCAACACTATGTCAAATGTTATCCATATTAGAGCAGAAATCGTCAGTTACTGCTTTGAGGATCCCTGTCTTTCTTGAAATAGAAGACTGTTTGAAGCACATTTGAATGAGTGAAATATCCTCGTCATCTTAGGCGTTAACATGGTGGCAACGAAGATTTTCTACCGCAGTGTTGATCCACACTAATTCACGTATAAACCCCTGTTGTGGATCGCCACTGTTCACACTGCTAACAGCACTGATCACCTCTATGAGCATAGTAACTCAGCTGATTGGATTGTTATTCTCACTAAAGGGAAAGAACAGCCTTTTTCCCACTTTACTTTTACGTCCGTTGGCAGGACATGAGAAGGCCAATGGATTTACCCTTTGACCTTCCACATAACTGACGTGACAAGGCCAATATGTTTGATGATATGGTGTGTACATTAGGTAATGCTCGATATCATTATTAGTAAGTAACTTTGCAGATACCATGCTGTTGCTGTTTGGGTCCCGTTATATCTAGAAGTTTCTTCCTACTTGCATGTGTCAACGATAATGAATAGGTCTGTCTTGAAATCACTGTCTGTATTGAAATCAAAGAAATAGACTCGTCATTGTTAACCAACCCCTTGGGAAGCGCTTTTTGCCTCGCACTCTTCTTACCCGATATGCTGTATATGCTGCTGGCTGTAACAACCAATTCTGAATCTCTGGTATCCTTTCCGTTTTTTTGAACGTCTCATTTAGAGTACTGGTTGCAAACAACGTATACTATACCACCTTTCTTTTCTACCCGTCTTCAATCTACTCGTTTCCTTGCATCTATTATCCACGAAGACCTTCCAACTTTTAGGTGTGGCTTCGGCTGTTGCTTCAAGATTTTCATTTCGTCTTGAATTTCGCAGAATTCATTTTGAGTCGATTCTCACTGGAGTCTTAGAATAGCCGCGCTAGAGTGTTCCCGGTTGCACTGCAGAGAGTGGTTCTTCCCAGACAAGTCCGGTTCCAATTTCCCAACCCCGAAGGGGTGACAGGTTTGGTGAGTCTGGAGCGGGATCGAACCAGTATCGTGCTCGTGATGACCAGTATCACTATCACTGTACTGTCCTTCCTTACAGCTATTTTATAATAAAGCTAAAGGGTAAAGCTGTCGATGTTGACCAATCGCTGAGGTACGTGGCAAACATTCGACTTCATTAAGCACCGTTAGAGATGTTCGAATCGACACCTAATCCACGAAATTACTTGTGATAGTCTGATGGTGTATCAAGTTTGTACTACTATTCTGCCAGTCAAGTGTGGTACCAATTTGCTGACCCCCGAGTTATCAAATGCTTGGTGAGCCTGGGGCGCAGGATCGAGCACATATGTATGGTATTTCAAGACACCTCTGACACTTGCGCTACACACGTCCTTGCTGTATCTACAGTATGCACACATAATATTATAAATTAATATGGATATAGATTCGTCTTATCGAAACATCGATGGCTTAGGTACACCTATTTGAAGCAGCAGGCCACCTTTGTTCAATTATTCTTAGATGTACTGAACTTCAATTATGCAGGAATTCAACTAAATATATAACTAGAACGGAGGAAGGTATCCCTTGCCAACAACCCAACCCCGATACCATTTTGCTGGTAGTCCTTTTCCTACGATTTTTCCTGTATCTTCTTTCAATATTTTTAGCACAGTGATGTAAATAACTGTTTCAGTGCTTATTTTACACTACATGTTCTTGTGTTAAGGAATTGTTCTGGAATGCCATTAGTTTCGTACTGTGCGCTCTCGGCTCTGCTGTTCTCATTTGGGATTGGGTGCAAATGCGAAGTGGATACCTGCTGCACCACAGCGCCTTGACGCCACACAACATCGGCGAGCAAAGTTGGCAACGACGAGTGCTCATAGTTGCGGTCAGTGGGAAGAGTCATCTTACACTCACTTCTCCGTTCCTTTTCAAGTCGTAACACTTGATTATTTATACTAAGTCCGAGTGATTTTCGCTGTTTGGCTACGCTGTACGTGGTTCTGCGCATAAGAATTGGTGCAAAGAACTACGGATAGAAAATTGGAAATTTGGAACACTTTGTACCTATTATTATTCTAAACTCAATTTGAGAACTCTCCCATAAATTAGCTCAATTTAGCAAATATAACACTTTATTCCTAAAGTAAATTTGTACGAACAATTCGGAATGGATGACTGTTATTTCAGGGATCCCTTCTCCTAGCCGCTTGTCTCTTCCTCTTCACGTTTATAAGATTTCAGCGATCAGGAATCCACTGAAATGCAGCTAAGGTTGTGGAGCCAAATCTGTTCTGAGACGAAAAATCGAGTAGAAAATAAAAAAGATATTGATGGATATAGACGATCTGTAATGTAATGACGGCTAGATTTGGGGATGTGTAACATAGTTAGAGCCAGCGCGCAATACACATTTTTTTTTGCTTCGCTCCTGCCCAGTGCCAACGATGCCTCTCATCCTTCGCGGAGTGCAAACTGGCAACAAATTTGTCTGGAAAAAGTTCCAATACGCAGAGGACTATGACTGTTTGTGACCAAGAACTGTCATTGTTATCATCGAAAAACAAGGAGATGCACGAGCTTCCCGAAATATCCATAACAACAACAACATCTTAGGGTTCCACCATAAACAACGCTGAAATCCGAATATTCTTTTAAAGGATGGATGTAGAACAATGAACAGAATGAAAAAAGGCTGGAATCTGCACAGCACTGTGTCATGCAAAAAGTAAGAGAAAACTAGCAGAGCAAATATACATATATACATGTATGTATGTATGTATATATATACATATATATATATATATATATATGTATATATATAGAAGTATACGAACTATACGGAGAGTTCGTTGTCATTCCCCATCAGTTAGATGTTGAGATAACGGAAAAGCACCTTGAAGATGCTTCCCTTTATCGTCCATTGTCTGAGAAGGAATTTAAAAGTCAATACCGAAAGTTAAACAACGAATGGGTTAAATTGGCAAAAGCGGCTGGGTTAAAGCCATCAGTTATCTCTCAACTCAAAGTTGACTTATCAACACGTCCCGTCCTGTACTTACTTACCAAAACTCATAAGTTAGTATCCAGCGATGATCTCGTGTCTACCGATCCATCATTATTTAAGGTCACGCCTATCATTAGCTGCGTGGACGGGCCAACGGATAGAATAACGTGATTAATAACCCTAATACTTACCCAGTTGTTGAAGTACATTCCAGCCCATCTAACGAACACCCAAATGTTCCTGGATCATATACGTAACGCGGGACTCAACAGGGCATACACGATGGAGTCCTTCGACGTTACCGCCCTTTATACAAACGTGTCGAATGACTCCGCAGTGCAAGCCATATTCGAACTCTTTATACAAAATGAAGGAGGAACAAACATGTACGACTTCAAGATAGGGCAGTTGACGGCACTCTTAAAAGAATGCTTGAGTTGCTCATTCTTCAGATAATTCGGAAAGTACTACACTCAAATAAGAGGGTTGGCAATGGGACTGCCTCTGGCATCAAGTCTTGCCATTGCGTTTATGTCTAAGGTGGAAGCACCAGTGACCGATCTCGCGCCGTTACTCTACTGTAGATATATAGATGACTGTTTTGTCCTCTGCTCAGCACGAGAGGAAATTGACAAATGTTTCGAGTTGTTGAACGAACAGTCAGAGTATACTAAATTCACCCTAGAGAAACCGAAAAAAAACTGGCTTCCATTCCTGAACGTCCAAATTAATCTATCAGAAAATGGCTACATTACGAAGTGGTACCGAAAGCCGAGTAGTAAAAACATCTTGGTTCATTACCTCTCCTCTCACCCCTCTCACACGAAAAGGGCGCTTGTGAGAAACATGTTTCGAACAGCTACCAGCGTGTGCACAGCAAGACAACAGAAAGAGGAGTCCCGGAACGTGGCGCGGCAAATAGCCATTTTTAATGGCTACGAAACTGTGGCTCGGGATAAGTGCAGAGGAAACCACAGGCACTGCAGCGATAACTCTAGGACAATAAGATCACGTTTATCCTGCCCTTGATTTCAAATGAAGTAAGTGCAGCTATTTTAAAACGCTGTTTAAGAAGGACCGGTCTAGAGAATTCGGTAACGATAATTGAAATGCCACCAAGTAATCTAAGACGCCAGCTAGTTCGTTACCGCCTATACGACCGTCTATGTGCAACGCAAAATTGCATAATTTTCCCCGATGGTAGAGACGGTGACTGCGTGAGTTCGAGAATATAAAGCGTGCGAGGACGAATACGTGGGCGAAACGAGTAGACCACTCAGCGTTCATATAAAAGAATACCTAGTCGGCAAACGTAAACCAAATACTCCACTGGACACGCAAAGGACGCAGAGACATAACGGGGACGACTTTGAAGGACGTGTCACGATCCTCGCGCAGGAATCAAGAACACAAGCGCGCAAAACTCTCGAGGCGCTCTCGATTAATTCCAGAAATCCGAAAATGAACCGCAGGGAGGAATGCTTCATTATCACGCGTGATATTGGGCACTACATAAGCCTGTTATTCTGATGAGATGGGCACATACGATTCCATGTGGACTGTGGATGGTTGGTCTCCACGTGACATTTTCAGTGGAAGACTCATAGCGAGCGGTGAGCGCACAAAGACTGTGTTCAATGTGATTGAAATCTTGGTTCAGCATTTTCTCTGTTTGGTTATGGAGATGTTTGGCCGTGTAGATTATAGTCAACTTGACCTTTCCTGGCTCTGAGAAAGGCGAAATCCGCCGAAACGTCAGTTTGTGCGTAAATAAAGAAATAAAATAACACCTCGTTTTTGCTAAACAAAAGTAGAAAGAATTAAACGAAGACTTCAAAAACTGGGACAATATAAATGTCATATAAATGCAAGCTGTTAACAGTCATTGGAAAGGCATAATCAAAGCCGGGTAAATGTTTTCTCAAGAAATACTGACCAAAATGCATTGATTTCAATGCGCGCGGCGTCGAAAAGTGTGCCTCACAACTCATATTTTGGTTCATAATGAGCTTTATTAATTGGAATTAGAACCATTAAAACACCACATAATTTTACCAGCGAGATGCAGCTTTCCTTCTCCTACAGTGCTTTCATAAATCATGAGTTTCTAAGGTTCATAAATTCTCTTTTACCGCTTTACTGATCGAGGCTCATACTTCGAACTGCTAAATCATTAAACAAATGGTAGTTCCTCCATTAGCAGATGACTGAGACAGCTGGACACGATACTGTTGTTTGAGGCCGTTGTTTTTAGGTTTAGAAATTTCAAACTTTATATTCAATATATATACAGACTCTATTCTCAACCTTTAGCAAATTTTGATTTTGAAGGAGTTCGAACTCGAAGAAAAAAACATTATGGAAAAATCATTTATAACGCGAAGGTAGTGGGAAAAGTCTCTTCTATAAGTCTACCAAGCTCTTAATTCATCAAGCATTAGGGTCGTCGAGAAATTATAGACAGCTAAGAAGAAACCAGCATAAACGATCATATGTTAACAATGACGAACGAATAAAACGAAGAAGAAAAACCATTATAAAAAAATGAATGAATGGATTGGAGAGCTCAACTGGTTTAAGCTGTCCGCGATAATAGAAGAAACGGAGAAAAACTAAAAGACTAAGGTGAAGAATACACAAACCCGTTTTGATTACCTGTATGACTTAATAGATAATCAACAATTGCAAGGAATATACTACATTAGAGGAAACAGATATGGTGCCATCAAAGCGCAAGCCATGCAAAACGAACTTCGTCGTGTATCGTTTTCCTTTCCAAAATTCATCTCTTATTATAATAGTTTAACATTTACTTGAAGTGAATATTTGTATAACTACAAATATGTCCTACCGCCATTTGAAAGAGCAGCATTATGTCTTTTGTTGAGAGCCATGCTCTTCAGTACCATCATTTAAAGAGGCAGAAAGATCTGTCTTTTGCTGACAGTCATCCGCTTCAATGTCGTCGTGATAACCGAAAAGGAAATCCCTATGACGCCTCCATCCCTCACATCTTCGTAACGCTTCTGTATAGTGTCGAGTCTGAAAACGAGATGGCGAAGTCTATTCATAAACTAGACAACAAAGAATACTAAAGTATTATTCAATTAATGGAAAATAATCAACGATATATTGACGAGGTCTTCAGAAACGAAGGAAGCGTGACATTGTTTGTGTTGAGTGGAGGATAGGTTCTCCAAAATTTAGAGAATTAGGTCACCCATTAGATCATAATTGCTACAGTACCACACTAAGCCTCCAACTTTTATAGCTATCGGAAAGGACGTAAGTAAAGAACCCTGTAAACCGAGTTGACATTTTTATTACGACAAAGGATGCTGTGGTGTTGTAATGTTAAGAATATACGATAGTAACAACACTAATCCTACTTGAATTACGTGTCGATATGCATTAGACATAAATATATGTATCCCTATCCCTGTAGATGTATATATACACACACATGCATATATATATATATATATATATATACATTTATATAGGGGACGTATACAGCAGTGGTCAGAGGCGCCCTACAATACACATGGAATTGGTTCCCCCTCCTAGCTCACCAAGCCTTCCGTCCCTCCGGGATCGGCAAATTGGTACGAGACTTGTCTGGGAAGATAGTAGCACTGGCTAAAGGCCAGATATGCATTCAATCACCTCCAAACGATGCTTAATGAAGTCAAATTCATGGCGCATCCCTCAGGGATTGATCAACACCGAGAGCTTTGTCCTTCATTTGTAAGAAAAATCCTTCCTTTACTTACATTTATGCCATTCATTTATACACTAAAAAATTCGTGCTTTCATCTCTCAAGAACTGGTTATTCAAAAAATCGATCGCAAACATATAAATGGAAATTCTGATAAGTGGAACTCTGTCGGATCTGGAGAACGAAACTGCAGCACAATCTAGCTGGAAACTTTGC